AGATCCAGACACTCCTGTATTAGATAAGGAAAGATAACTCGGTGAAATTGGTGGAAAAGTATATAAAATAATATGTAGTTAGTAGGTGATTCTGTAGAATTGCGACCTTTGACAAATTATACGCGAGTGTTGACTATGTACTGATCCTGATAATAGCTCAACCACTCATCGCTTTGCTGAGTTTTGTATTTTCATTTCTTGGTCTGAAGAACTATTTCACTTTATAAATATATTTATGATGGTCATCATTTTGGGCATAAAATATTTAGTCTTAATCCATTTTGTTGCCATGAACGGTTGCCTATCCTATTGTTGTGTACAGTAAGCAAAATACAAATAAAGTCAATACGCAGAAACAATATCAGGGCCTGTATTCATGACATCGTTCTGGTAATCAAAAACGGATTCTGTGCTCAAACCAACTTTCTTAAATCGTTGGACAAGGTCAAAAGTTAAGTCTAGACACCAAAATTTGTATCCGGCTCCAAGATACTCCCAAACTCCTGTAAATAATTAACAAAATGTTTATTTTTGTTTATTTATCTCTGGAACTAGAAATACGGCTTGGACACAGATCCGGATTTTGAGTATGAGAACGGTTTCATAAATATAGGCCCAGAACTTTAAAAACATCGACCACGACACTAAAGATCACTTACTCAGATGTTGTGCTCAAGACCAGTTTCCTATTCCGGTGATAAATTAATAGAAAAAAATAATATTTTGACGATGATCTTTGAAGAATTAAGGACTTAATTCGACGATATTGCAAATAGTTTTCCATTTTGATGTTTAAACTTTTGACCATCAAGGGCGTGTCTCCAGACTCATCATATATCGTCCTTAGGAATTCATTGTCCTTGGTCAACTAGTCTACTTGATATTTGTACCTTTTAGCGTAGTGACCTTTTTGGTTACACTTACGACATGTTGCTTCTCGCGCGGCATTTCCTCCTGAATGATTAGGTGTTAATCCACATCTCGTACATGAACTTGACTGATTGTTGTTTCCATTAGACTCGGGACGAGTTGTCTCATTACAGTTTCTCCGCTGATAACTATTACCGCCGGGCGACTTCTGACGCTTGCTTCTACGGTACTCTTTAGTAACTGCCACTGTTCTCATCTCTGACAACTGTCCGTTGTTTCTTAACAGTTTCTTAAGGGTACCATGCTCGCAGTATTGTACAAGAGTATGGAGTGAAGTGATAAAACTATCTGGTGTTTCTCCCTCGTTTTGTTTCCGGTGAATAAATCTCGTCCGTTCAAAAATTGTATTTCTGCGTTTCACAAAATGAGTCCCAAATTTCTCCGATACATTCTTGTATTTCTTTGCATCCGCCTCTGACAGTTGAAATGACTTGAAAATACCCTCGAAATCGCTTTCCATAATGTATATCAATGGATTTACTTGAGCATTTTTTTCCTTTTTATTCAACTCCGGCGCTATCTTAAAGCGTTCAAACTGCTGAAACCATTTCGGCCATTCATCGGGTTAAGGGGGTGAAGGTGGGGGTAGGGGTCGCATTTACTTACTGACACCCAGTGATAATGTTTACATAACCTGACGATTCGAGAAGCGATCCATTGCAGTGTATTCAGAGCTGTGTACACATATTTTGTGTGCGCTGCTGGGAGCCATCTTGTAAGCATCCTAGAACGATTTTCTCCTATAGTTTACATCACTTAGATACTTAAAGCTTATCTATAGTGTGTATAAAAAATGTTCGTATAACTATGGAATTATAACACTACAGGTACCATACTCTCCATTTATACAAAATTTAGTTCCTCTAGCCAAATGATGCTCTGGACCAAATTTAGTTCAAATTCCCCTAATCATACACAAGGGGGAGGATTTTAAAGATTAACCTAAATTCTCTATTTTTCCCCGCCTCTCTGCCACCAGAGGCCCACATCCTCCGTTTATACAAAATTGAGTCCCCTATCTCCAATGTAAGCTCCAGGCCAAATTTATTTATAATCCATTAAGGTTTTCAGGACAAGTAGCGCTTTCAAGTAAAAGTTGACAGACTGACGGACGACGCACCACGGCAGGTTGGCAAGTATGGATTATGAAAAGAATCTTGTTACACAACCGCAGTTTGTCTGTTCTAAATCGAGACGAGGGGGCTCATAGACGCTTGCACATCTACGACCAAATATGAAACAAAGCGTTGTTTAATCGAGTCATTTTGGTACATATATAACAAATAGTGTACATACGCTTACAGCTTAGCCAAATTGAAATCATTTGTGGACAATTCGTACACGTTTTACACCTTTGTGTTCATACACGTTACTGGTCATTTGTCGTATGAAGGTGACAGAGTACATATCGTATTAGTCATCAAAACGACACATAGACACACTTATTGGTTGGGTTACAAGACTTGTTTAATAACACAGTGGAACTATCTAGCGTTTGCCTTCAGTGGAACAGTGATCCTTAAACATACCGTGCATGATTATTTAAACTACAGTACAGACGTGGTGTGAACTAATGTCATAAAGAATAATAAAAAAATATTTCAGTTTTTATAAAATTTCTTAAAATATTTATTTGTTATCGACAAATTTGACATAAATGTGTGAACATAATCTGCTGTTTATTCAGCAGGCGCTACCAAATTTCCACTGAAATTCGTGTGCATGCTTGCGTAGTAATACGAATCTAGATTTCGTCTGTCAATAAGCAAGACTTGCTGTCCTTCGGTAAGAGAAAGGTACACAGTATTTGATGCCGTGCACCAATTTGGAAGACTCTCTGCCCAAACCGTGCATACTAATTCCGTTTCCCTGACAACGGTCTTAAGCAACATGACGGCGGCCTGTAATACAAAGGGAGATTACTGTGTAATAATGATCTAATTAGAAATAAAGAAGACATTTGCATGTCACATTACCCGCTTTATGTATATGTTTACGTAGACATTCACAATGTTTGAAAGTTCAAGAATCACATACGTTCAATCTTTTGAGCATTTTGTTTTGGTGTGGCGGTTTGCTGCATTCGTCTGGCCATTCATACTGTTAACAAAGTCTTAAACGACAGACAGTCAGACATCAGATCTTTTTCAATCCTCTACTTAGAACATTTACTGCTTAAATATCAATGATGAACTGACTTTCAATTGCAAGAAATTAATTGACCAATTCGATCGTGTATAGCCTCAAAAGCCTAAATCAGAGACACCACAGACTCTTTTACTTCAGTCGATTCCCTCGATCTTAACTGACAACATGACCAACAGTGACGGCTTACTACTAAACTGATTATTTCGACATTCCGGTCGTGACCTTTCCCTTTATTGACAGTTTCATCCCTGATTCCCCTCCCTATGTAATGTTCATAAAGTGAATTTGCAAAGGTGTATTGAGATATGATAGTAAAACCATAAGCAGGTGCATACCTTCTGTAGAGATTGATGGCTAACTCTCCCTAATAAGGAGGGAGACTTTTGGACTTGAATATTTAGTATTTGCAACCTGTGAGTATGCTAATTTATTCCTATATTCTAAGATGTGATAACATCTGAAATTACAACTCAAAATATGTCCAAAAAAATGTTTGTCTGTAGGGGTACGCATTTATTTTAGTTTTAAATTTGAGCATCGGAATCTCCCCCGTGGAAATTGCAAAATGGCAAGTATGTGTATCATATCGTTTTATTGTGGTAATAAATACAAACAGCTGTGTATCCTACCAGTACGACGTCACACAGTGAATGATGACGTCACATTATTTAGTACCTTCAGTGGTTTTAGACTTGCATGTGTCCGATATTTTAGAAATAATAAAAGTACATCAAAATCGCAATGAATGTCAGCATGAAGATATAACCCTGCGTTGTTGTGGTTTATAGTGAACATACCAGCCGTGCCCATGGACAGACTGTGCGGATATAACCCTGCGTTGTTGTGGTTTATAGTGAACATACCAGCCGTGCCCATGGACAGACTGTGCGGATATAACCCTGCGTTGTTGTGGTTTATAGTGAACATACCAGCCGTGCCCATGGACAGACTGTGCGGATATAACCCTGCGTTGTTGTGGTGTATAGTGAACATACCAGCCGTGCCCATGGACAGACTGTACGGATATAACACTGTGTTGGAGTGGTTTATAGTGAACATACCAGCCGTGCCCATGGACAGACTGTGCGGATAGCTTTTAGTTGATATGAAAACAGCGTGGCAGTCACACTGCGTTTCTCTGGCGTTTTAATGTCTTAATTCAAAATTTAAAAAAAAAACTTTGCGACCAGATTCTTTAAAGAAACGAAATCGAAACCAACTGAATTATATTCATGATCAAGTAAAGATTATAAGAATTTCACTCCAAAAGTCTGAAAATAGCATCTTTAGTTGCTATCTTTGATCTAGAGTCGATCATTGCTCTAGATGACGATATTCTGGTTGATGCATCTTATGCTGTTACTGTCAACTATATATATTTGAAAAGAAAAAAATCCTTGACAAATAGGAGAAACACATGAAACGTATCCGCTGAAATTTTCTCTCACTTTGCCATTTCTAGTATAGTATTCCATTTTAACTGTTAGAATTTTCTATTTCAGCTTTGGGTTATCGATAACGCTCATCAATATATTCAGTTTAAGTCCTTTGCTAATAAATCTCGAACCGTTTCATTTTTTCATGATTTTAACAGAAATGAGACATTACGGTAGAGAAATTCTTGAAAAATGTAACATGAGTAGTTAACACATTATATTTAATATTTTTATATGTTACCAATGGACGACGAAATTATCGAACCTATTATATAATGTATTTTTAAAGGTTATTGGTTAACTGTTTATCGTTTCTTTTTACGTATCAGTATTTATATACAGAAATAGATCGCACGATAGCCCTGCCATAACAGAAACAATTGGAGCAGTGTGATAGGAAGGACGGTCGTTTATCGTCACACTTTCTAAAAATAAACATACAATTTTGAAGAAACAGCTGTATAGATCACAAGGATTTTCCGATGTAGTTATATATATATATAAATCATTGTGCCACAAAGCTTGTATACATATACCGACAACATATAGCTCACGCGCACTTTCGTGCAACCTTACCTTCTCATCAGACCTGAAACCAACTCAAGATGGAGTATAGTGTTGTTTTAGTTATGTTGCTAGCTGTGGCATTTGCTATAAACAGTCACGAGGATCATACGTACGATAATCTTCAAACTGAAGTTTCGGCTTTGAAGAAATTCGTATTTAATATGAACGTTGAATTGGATAAGGTCCGAAAAAAGTATGATGACATGCACCAGGAGCTCAGGGTAGTCAGGTAAATATCAGCTTCTCATGAAAAAGGATGTATTATTTGAGGAGCATAGGGCATTCGAGTAAATATCAGCTACACCTTAGGTATGATAATTATTTAAGGAGCTAAGGGTAGTCAGGTAAGTATCGGCTTCATTTAAAGTAAAATGATTGTTTTAAAGAGCTAAGGGTAGTCAGTAAATATCAGCTACATTTTAAGGAGAAAGATTGTTTAAGGAGCTAAGGGTAGCCGGGTAAACATCAGCTACATTTTAAGTAGAATATATTTTTATAATTGTTTTAAGGAGCTAAGGGTAGTCAGTAAATATCAGCTTCATTTTAAGGAGAAGGATTTTTTAAGGAGCTAAGGGTAGACGGGTAAATATCAGCTACATTTTAAGGAGAATGATTTTTTAAAGAGCTAAGGGTAGTCAGTAAATATCAGCTACATTTTAAGGAGAAGGATTGTTTAAGGAGCTAAGGGTAGCCGGGTAAATATCAGCTACATTTTAAGTAGAATAGTTTTTTTTTAATTAGCTAAGGGTAGTCGGGTATATATCAGCTTCATTTAAAGTAAAATGATTGTTTTAAGGAGCTAAGGGTAGTCAGTAAATATCAGTTTCATTTTAAGGAGAAGAATTTTTTAAGGAGCTAAGGGTAGCAGGGTAAATATCAGCTACATTTTAAGGAGAATGATTTTTTAAGGAGCTAAGGGTAGCCGGTTAAATATCAGCTACATTTTAAGGAGAATGTTTTTTAAGGAGCTAAGGGTAGCCGGGTAAATATCAGCTACTTCTGAAGAAGGATGATATATTTGAGGAGCATAGGGTATTCAGGTAAAATACCAGCTACACCTAAAATTCAAACATAAGGAGCTCAGAGTAGTCAGGTAAACAGCTAAATTTAAAGAAGAATGATTTGCTTTTCAAGAATAAAAGCTAAAGAAAAAAGGGTAGCATTGGAGGAGATTAAAGCAGTCAGCTACACTTAAGTTAAATTTGCTTGAGCGGAGGATAATCCAGTAAATGTCAGCTTATCATTAAGTAAGATGTTTTGTTTGAGGACCGAACGGAAGTCTTGAAAATATCAGCTATATCTAAAGCAGAATGATTTGTTTGAGGAGCATAGGGTAGTCAGGTAAACACCACCTACATCCAAAGTAGTAAGATTTGTTTGAGGAGAATAGGGTAGTCAGGTAAAAACCACCTACATCCAAAGTAGTCAGATTTGTTTGAGGAGAATAGGGGAGTCAGGGAAAAACCATCTACATCCGAAGTAGTCAGATTTGTTTGAGGAGCATAGGGGAGTCAGGTAAATACCACCTACATCCAAAGAAGTCAGATTTGTTTGAGGAGCGTAGGGTAGTCAGGTAAAAACCATCTACATCCGAAGTAGTCAGATTTGTTTGAGGAGCATAGGGTAGTCAGGTAAATACCACCTACATCCAAAGAAGTCAGATTTGTTTGAGGAGCGTAGGGTAGTCAGGTAAACACCACCTACATCCAAAGTAGTAAGATTTGTTTGAGGAGAATAGGGTAGTCAGGTAAAAACCACCTACATCCAAAGTAGTCAGATTTGTTTGAGGAGAATAGGGTAGTCAGGTAAAAAAACATCTACATCCGAAGTAGTAAGATTTGTTTGAGGAGCGTAGGGTAGTCAGGTAAAAAACATCTACATCCAAAGTAGTCAGATTTGTTTGAGGAGCGTAGGGTAGTCAGGTAAAAACCATCTGCAACCGAAGTAGTAAGATTTGTTTGAGGAGCGTAGGGTAATCAGGTAAAAACCATCTGCATCCGAAGAAGTAAGATTTGTTTGAGGAGCGTCGGGTAGTCAGGTAAAAACCACCTACATCCAAAGGAGTAAGATTTGTTTGAGGAGAATAGGGTAGTCAGGTAAAAACCATCTGCATCCGAAGAAGTAAGTTTTGTTTGAGGAGCGTAGGGTAGTAAGGTAAAAACCACCTACATCCAAAGTAGTCAGATTTGTTTGAGGAGAATAGGGTAGTCAGGTAAAAACCATCTGCATCCGAAGAAGTAAGATTTGTTTGAGGAGCGTAGGGTAATCAGGTAAAAACCATCTGCATCCGAAGAAGTAAGATTTGTTTGAGGAGCGTAGGGGAGTCAGGTAAAAACCATCTACATCAAAAGTAGTAAGATTTGTTTGGGGAGCGTAGGGTAGTCAGGTAAAAAACATCTACATCCTAAGTAGTCAGATTTGTTTGAGGAGCGTAGGGTAGTCTAGTAAAACCCAGCTACATCCAAATTAGTAAGATTTGTTTGAGAAGCTACGGCTGGCAGGTGATATCAGTTACACCTAATATAAGTTTATCTGTTAAAGGAACTAAGGGATGTCAGGTAAAATTCAATTACACCTGAAATAGGATGATTTGTTTGTACAATCTACATTTGAAGACGGATGAGGAGCATAGGACATAAAGGTAATTATATGCTATTCGTTAAGTAGATTATGTGTGTTCTTTCGTTACAAATATAGTGACATTTGTCCTGCATAAACAACCTAAACCAATTACAAGAGTCTAAAGACCTCGTAGCTAACTGGTTCAGATAACCAAAAGAAACACTCATCACATTCATTGATCGATTTGAAATTCGTTTTAAAGGCCGGTGTATAGTAAACATTGTGTTGTTGATATCTAAGATATTGACAGCATCAAATATTGTTTGGCCCTGGCAAATCTACAGAGCCTTGTATTTAGCTGGATGTATTCCAAATGCTACACACTTGCCGTTCACTTTTTTTAAACAAACAAATGGTAGCAACATCGCAATGAACCTAATAACCCCAAGATGCGGGATATACGCCGTGCTATATATAGGAGGGGCAGACAACATAATCTTTATTGTAATTTCTTTTATTATCAGGAACCTCACCTGAATTGGATGCAATGTAACAATACTTTTCAGTGGTTAATATCCATACATTATTGGACGATTAATTGACCATGCGCGTGTGTGTATTCTAGCAGACCAACGCTGTTCAAAAACCTTTCCCCCTCAAATGTACCGTTAAAAAGCGAGTTGCGGGACTGGTTTCCTTTGTCGAATAATTGTACACGCATTGAATCTTGTATGTTTTTGAATATTCGCTAGCGAACGACAAACACATTCTATTTTACCTCTAGATCTACCTAAAACCATTCAAGCTCAGGGTCAGAAATTCCCTCAAACTTACCGTGTAGGTAACCTAAAAAAGTGTTTAGAATTCTGTCAAAGATGATAACTGTGTTCACATTTAGTTTTAAACGGCAATATTAATAGAATTTCTCAAGAAAAAATAAATAAAAATGAAACGTTGTTTATAATAAATATATGATATAGTCGATGGAACTAGATTAAATCCACTTTAAATATTTTCTGTTTTTGAAGAAATGAACGCCAGGCTGCGGACACGTTTCCCAAAACACCGCAACCAGACGCATTTGACAACTATCCAAAACGCAACGAAGACAATGGGGAGACAACTCGACTGAACAAGAGAGCGGCGGGTAAGATGTTTAATGTATATACGAATACTCCTTCAACACGGCTCCTGTTCTGGATTGTCAATGACTGGGTCAGCACACAGTGGTGGTGTGTATGGACATTTTAGTGCTGCCCAGTTATAATTGTTATCTGGAGTAGGAGTGGTGATGGAGGACTAGTGGTGGTGTGTATGGACATTTTAGTGCTGCCCAGTTATAATTGTTATCTGGAGTAGGAGTGGTGATGGAGGACTAGTGGTGGTGTGTATGGACATTTTAGTGCTGCCCAGTTATAATTGTTATCTGGAGTAGGAGTGGTGATGGAGGACTAGTGGTGGTGTGTATGGACATTTTAGTGCTGCCCAGTTATAATTGTTATCTGGAGTAGGAGTGGTGATGGAGGACTAGTGGTGGTGTGTATGGACATTTTAGTGCTGCCCAGTTATAATTGTTATCTGGAGTAGGAGTGGTGATGGAGGACTAGTGGTGGTGTGTATGGACATTTTAGTGCTGCCCAGTTATAATTGTTATCTGGAGTAGGAGTGGTGATGGAGGACTAGTGGTGGTGTGTATGGACATTTTAGTGCTGCCCAGTTATAATTGTTATCTGGAGTAGGAGTGGTGATGGAGGACTAGTGGTGGTGTGTATGGACATTTTAGTGCTGCCCAGTTATAATTGTTATCTGGAGTAGGAGTGGTGATGGAGGACTAGTGGTGGTGTGTATGGACATTTTAGTGCTGCCCAGTTATAATTGTTATCTGGAGTAGGAGTGGTGATGGAGGACTAGTGGTGGTGTGTATGGACATTTTAGTGCTGCCCAGTTATAATTGTTATCTGGAGTAGGAGTGGTGATGGAGGACTAGTGGTGGTGTGTATGGACATTTTAGTGCTGCCCAGTTATAATTGTTATCTGGAGTAGGAGTGGTGATGGAGGACTAGTGGTGGTGTGTATGGACATTTTAGTGCTGCCCAGTTATAATTGTTATCTGGAGTAGGAGTGGTGATGGAGGACTAGTGGTGGTGTGTATGGACATTTTAGTGCTGCCCAGTTATAATTGTTATCTGGAGTAGGAGTGGTGATGGAGGACTAGTGGTGGTGTGTATGGACATTTTAGTGCTGCCCAGTTATAATTGTTATCTGGAGTAGGAGTGGTGATGGAGGACTAGTGGTGGTGTGTATGGACATTTTAGTGCTGCCCAGTTATAATTGTTATCTGGAGTAGGAGTGGTGATGGAGGACTAGTGGTGGTGTGTATGGACATTTTAGTGCTGCCCAGTTATAATTGTTATCTGGAGTAGGAGTGGTGATGGAGGACTAGTGGTGGTGTGTATGGACATTTTAGTGCTGCCCAGTTATAATTGTTATCTGGAGTAGGAGTGGTGATGGAGGACTAGTGGTGGTGTGTATGGACATTTTAGTGCTGCCCAGTTATAATTGTTATCTGGAGTAGGAGTGGTGATGGAGGACTAGTGGTGGTGTGTATGGACATTTTAGTGCTGCCCAGTTATAATTGTTATCTGGAGTAGGAGTGGTGATGGAGGACTAGTGGTGGTGTGTATGGACATTTTAGTGCTGCCCAGTTATAATTGTTATCTGGAGTAGGAGTGGTGATGGAGGACTAGTGGTGGTGTGTATGGACATTTTAGTGCTGCCCAGTTATAATTGTTATCTGGAGTAGGAGTGGTGATGGAGGACTAGTGGTGGTGTGTATGGACATTTTAGTGCTGCCCAGTTATAATTGTTATCTGGAGTAGGAGTGGTGATGGAGGACTAGTGGTGGTGTGTATGGACATTTTAGTGCTGCCCAGTTATAATTGTTATCTGGAGTAGGAGTGGTGATGGAGGACTAGTGGTGGTGTGTATGGACATTTTAGTGCTGCCCAGTTATAATTGTTATCTGGAGTAGGAGTGGTGATGGAGGACTAGTGGTGGTGTGTATGGACATTTTAGTGCTGCCCAGTTATAATTGTTATCTGGAGTAGGAGTGGTGATGGAGGACTAGTGGTGGTGTGTATGGACATTTTAGTGCTGCCCAGTTATAATTGTTATCTGGAGTAGGAGTGGTGATGGAGGACTAGTGGTGGTGTGTATGGACATTTTAGTGCTGCCCAGTTATAATTGTTATCTGGAGTAGGAGTGGTGATGGAGGACTAGTGGTGGTGTGTATGGACATTTTAGTGCTGCCCAGTTATAATTGTTATCTGGAGTAGGAGTGGTGATGGAGGACTAGTGGTGGTGTGTATGGACATTTTAGTGCTGCCCAGTTATAATTGTTATCTGGAGTAGGAGTGGTGATGGAGGACTAGTGGTGGTGTGTATGGACATTTTAGTGCTGCCCAGTTATAATTGTTATCTGGAGTAGGAGTGGTGATGGAGGACTAGTGGTGGTGTGTATGGACATTTTAGTGCTGCCCAGTTATAATTGTTATCTGGAGTAGGAGTGGTGATGGAGGACTAGTGGTGGTGTGTATGGACATTTTAGTGCTGCCCAGTTATAATTGTTATCTGGAGTAGGAGTGGTGATGGAGGACTAGTGGTGGTGTGTATGGACATTTTAGTGCTGCCCAGTTATAATTGTTATCTGGAGTAGGAGTGGTGATGGAGGACTAGTGGTGGTGTGTATGGACATTTTAGTGCTGCCCAGTTATAATTGTTATCTGGAGTAGGAGTGGTGATGGAGGACTAGTGGTGGTGTGTATGGACATTTTAGTGCTGCCCAGTTATAATTGTTATCTGGAGTAGGAGTGGTGATGGAGGACTAGTGGTGGTGTGTATGGACATTTTAGTGCTGCCCAGTTATAATTGTTATCTGGAGTAGGAGTGGTGATGGAGGACTAGTGGTGGTGTGTATGGACATTTTAGTGCTGCCCAGTTATAATTGTTATCTGGAGTAGGAGTGGTGATGGAGGACTAGTGGTGGTGTGTATGGACATTTTAGTGCTGCCCAGTTATAATTGTTATCTGGAGTAGGAGTGGTGATGGAGGACTAGTGGTGGTGTGTATGGACATTTTAGTGCTGCCCAGTTATAATTGTTATCTGGAGTAGGAGTGGTGATGGAGGACTAGTGGTGGTGTGTATGGACATTTTAGTGCTGCCCAGTTATAATTGTTATCTGGAGTAGGAGTGGTGATGGAGGACTAGTGGTGGTGTGTATGGACATTTTAGTGCTGCCCAGTTATAATTGTTATCTGGAGTAGGAGTGGTGATGGAGGACTAGTGGTGGTGTGTATGGACATTTTAGTGCTGCCCAGTTATAATTGTTATCTGGAGTAGGAGTGGTGATGGAGGACTAGTGGTGGTGTGTATGGACATTTTAGTGCTGCCCAGTTATAACTGTTATCTGGAGTAGAAGTGGTGATGGAGGACTAGTAGGTGTTACAAATTATTCAACTAATAATATTTTAATTTTTCTGTATTGAATGGAGGTTCCAGTTTTTTATATTAGTATATGTTGTAAAATTTATAAAATTTGTTATTTACAAATGCAGTATACACACATGGCTTTCCATTTTGAAATACATTTTATATATACTGGTTACTATGTAAAGAAAAAATAACAAAAAAGTACTGTATTTGTTTTACCTCAGTAAAAAAAAAATAAAAAAAAATAAACATTTGCTTAGTTCAGAGATAGATAGAGACTATTAAGTATTAAGTATTAAATACTATTTAATGTTCCAAGCCAGTGCTAATATATGTAAATGTCTAAATTATGATTATGTTATTGTTTGAAATGTATGTAACTTAGCCTTTTGCCCAATTCCCATTGAATAATTTGATTAAATAAAACAGTTTGAAATGAATGTTTAATGTATACCTACCCATGAGTACATTAAGAATTGTTTCATTTCTGTACTTTGTATTGCTATTCATGTGTAGAGTAATTATGGGCTGTAACTAATGAATGTTTTTCCATGTAAAGAAACGCAATATAATGTTAACGTTTATAGCAATGCTGGGACACCCTGCTGCTACCGGCTTCGTACAGATATTTAACAGAGACTTGTTTTCGTTTGCAGCGTATACGCCCACATTACAATTGTCTAATGTTTGGAATGGATCGAAAGGTACGAAAACTACGTCATTTTGTCTGATGATGCTATTTGTGGTTACATATTTGTTTCGGCATAGTTTAATGACAGATAATAGTTTTGCCATCCTAATGTCATACAGTGTTGTGATAGAAATCATATTTCTAAGATAAACAATATTTTTGTGAAGCCTTTTAAATTTAAATGTGAAATAATATATTTTTGAAGCAGCATTCGGGCCGAAAGGTGAAAAGGGAGAACCGGGCCCCCAGGGACTTCAAGGGGTCAAGGGACCAGTCGGGCCCCCAGGGTCAAAAGGGGACAACGGACTGAAAGGAGACGTCGGGAAAATTGGAATCGTTGGACAGAAAGGGAACGTAGGAACACCTGGATCAAAGGGACAGAAAGGGGACAACGGGAGTCCTGGTATTACTGGATATAGAGGACCAAAAGGGGACAGTGGGAGTCCTGGTATTCCTGGACATACGGGACCAAAAGGGAACACAGGTAAGTTAAATGTAGAATACACTACAAATGGTTTTATGATAGCATTTGATAGAAAAACACAAACCACTTTCAGGATTTAAGGATATCTATAATTCACTTCACTTTTTTTTTACTTTTTTTTTTACTAACTAATACATTTTTTGTCTTTTACCAAACAGTCTGTATCGTTGAAGCTGAAACACAAATACGAACTTTCCAGGTCCAGTTAATTTCGAAAACTTGCTTTCTTTGGCATAACCCGTAACATCATTCAACATTGTTACCCGCCGATATCGTATTAGCATGTGTGCTACTAACTTATGATGATAAACACTACTGGTGTGATAATGCCATTCTGTTTTGTTTTTCTTACCAAAGGATATACAGGTTTGAATGGGTTACGTGGACCGAAAGGAGAGATTGGACACATCGGGCGACCAGGCCAGAAAGGTGAACCAGGAACAGGTGAGAGAACCAATATATAACGTTTCTAAATCTCTTAGGTTTAAGTTTTCGTTTTCCGTTGATACATATCTGACATTACCAAGCGAGGCCGTGACATAGTTTTATGTTCAGGAGACAAATGATTGATCAGCTAGCTAAAGCTACCCTGATAAATACGAATATATGATAGGTGATGTCTTCGTGTGCTTATTGTATTACACAGTTTCTACCTGTATATTTACGCTGTGACATTTGCCTTTCTGTGTTGAAGGTGTAGTATCGTTTGTTTCGTTCTGAGTTAATGTCAAAGCATATCCAGCTTATACGACATGTTTATTTATAGAACAGCGTTAACAAAAATGTTGTAAAGATCCCTTCTTTTTCGTTTAGGCCAGCAAGTCGCTTTCTTTGCCATAACCGATATACGCATTCAAAGTACTTATATGACGATCACCTCCAACACTGTCCCCACCAATGTAGGTCTTGATTACAACCAATCTACTGGTATATTCACCTGTGAAGTGCCAGGAACTTACATGTTTACGAGTTCCCTTGAAGTCAGTCAGCTACAAAACGTGTATTCTCAGATTTATGTTCGTGGAACTTCATGGAGCGACCTTGCTCTTTCCGGAACCTATTGGAATTCGGGAAGTCAAACAATAATAGCCACCCTTTTCCCTGGACAAATTGTAAATGTTATTTTCAAATCTCGCGACAACACCGTGGATAAAATCACGATTCATTTCTCTGGCGTTCTAATGTTTTAAGACATAATTAAAAAGTTATTTTGCAAGAAAAAAGTATTGTGTTGTCGATCAGCTCGGATAGAGTTACTCAAATTCGAATTTGTATACCCAAGGTCTAAAAAGATCATATCTGGGGGTCACCTCCGATCGAGGGTCGATCATGATGATGTGATCAACATCACTATGTTCTGGTTGGTGCATTGACTACTGTGACCGTCAAATATATATATATATGAAAAGAACAAGAACTTGAAATGTATCTTTTTAGCTGTCATTTTTATTAAGTGCTTGAAACGAATCATTTATTATTAATGAAACTAAGTCCTCTAACCTACACTTGAGGGAGAACTCCTACGTTTCAGATATGAATGCAGATTAAAAAACGGCACTGTCTTTTAAGCAAATTTTTGTACCACATCAAAAATCATACATTTCAGGGGTCGTAACAAAACAATGCTAATACTTTGAGGATAATCAGCCTTTTTATACATTAAAGGAAATAATTGAAATAATGTTGCGCGTTTCTTTATGCTGTAGTAAAGTATAATACATTTTGATGATACACAAGAATAAAAGCTGTCTCCACTTTGATATCTTTGATGGGAAACTTTAGTGCGTTCGGTTACATAATGTGCATCGCACACTACCATCAAACAGTCCAAGGAAATCACGTGACTAGTCAACAGTCGTAGGGTAGCAAACACAAGTAAATCACGTGACTAGTCAACAGTCGTAGGATTGCAAACAGAAGTAAATCAAGTGACCAGTCAACAGTCGTAAGGCAGCAAACACAAGAGTATCACGTGACCAGTCAACAGTCGTAAGGCAGCAAACACAAGAGTATCACGTGACCAGTCAACAGTCGTAAGGCAGCAAACACAAGTTTATCACGTGACTAGTCAACAGTCGTAAGGCATCAAACACACGTTTATCACGTGACCAGTCAAGTAGAGGTCGGCTGTTGCCGGTGAGGTATATAACACCTTTATATTATTTTCCTTCATGTCGTTCGAATATTGGAAATGAAATATCACGTCGTTTTAAGTTAAGCAAGAAAGACATATAATTACACTGTATTTGGTGGTCATATTGCAATATGAAATTTGCCTTATCGCCCTCCTTATAAACATTTACCTCGATATTTGCAAAGCCAAATTGGTCGAGCTCACCAAAGTGTATCCACCGACATTTCCTCTCATCTTGTTCTAGTAAGGGACTCAACTGAATCCGTTAGGATTTTTTAATTTCCTGCTCGGGTTTATGGATGACTCTTATCAATATCATAATTATATGTAAATAAACCCCGAGTCGTGAAAACAATTGGAGAATTTCTAATGGTTTTTTTTAAATCTGTCATTTATTTTTAAAACGTTATATTCAATACTTTCGAAATGTGTAACAAAGAAATGATGAAACCACATATATAATGCAAAGATTATTCGCCAACTATTTTTTATTTTTTTTTATGATACTTATCATTATTAATATCTAACGTTTATGATCCCATGATATCTCTTAATATGTAGTTATGTCGATAGAGCGTGCCATGTCCTACTTTTTACCATCTTTGTTTAAATCGAAGGCAATTTCCAGCAGATTGTTGGCAACAAACCTACGGCTGACGTGTCGGGACAAGGAACGTCAACCTAGCTAGGTCTTTTTATTTAACTTTCAGATATATTTAATCATGTGTTATCTTTTCAAGACAAGAAACGTATCCCCATGTCGACAATGTTTACCCTTAGATAATCCTCTTCATTGGCTGCTTCGCTTTTTTTAACTTAGCTAGCTACTAAGACGTTTAAGAAGTGTTATGTGTTTGATTTTCCACTTTCCTGATAGAAACATCCCTACATACTCCACCTAGTGTTATATGTCGGATTAGATTTTATATGATCTGGCTGGCCCCAAATATTATTACTTCCATGAGAGATGTTAAATATTGACAGACAAACTTAAAACACCGGGTTAAGAGCGATACATGGTAATGATGTACAGTATATCGGTTAAGATACAAGTTAACTTTTATGATCGCCAAATATTATTCTCTTGTTCGATATGAATATAAACGTTCTTGATAATGGCCTTAAGTATACCTGATGGTTCGTTGTCACCACCTTAGTTCTTATATTGAGGCCGAAGCAGATTAGGCTTACCCTTCCGGCACACCTAATCTTCCTCTTCCTGTACCGTGGTATGAATCTCTGTGCTTTAATTGGTCTTTTTCCGCGTTTTGCCCTAGTCATATCAAAGTCGGGTTCGAATAACGGTTTTGATCACAATTTGGTATAAATTTTTTTAATTCGATTAACAGATTCAGAAAATCAATCATTAATATGTTTTTATTTCTTTCTTTTTCTGTACAATATTGAGAAAAAATACATTAATAATGTGCTTGTTTAAAATATTAGTTTCTTGGTCAAATTGTTGAAACTTATATTTCCTAATCAAGAAAAAAATGAAAGTATCGATGCTAAAAGAAATTATATAATTTTTATATATTGCGGTTTCGACACATCTTGTTTCTAATTACTGCAAATTTGTTAAGCTTTCGCGAAATGTTCAGAGACATAGAGAAAGATAGGGAGAGACAGACAGACAGACAGACAGACAGAGAAAGATAGGGAGAGACAGACAGACAGAGAAATTCATACGGAACAATACAACATAACATTTTATGAAGTTGAGGGCATCTAAATAGTTGTTATTCCGCAAATTGATGCTTATTTCTTTTTTTAAATAATATTAGTTTTTCGTAATATACATGCCAAGATTATATCAGCAACTGTCTCTGGAGTAAAAAGTCCTAGTTTATTTAGCCCAATACCATGACCGTCTTTTCTACGTGTTGAACTTGTTAGTGGTAGAGTTAGTTCTGGGTTTAAATTATCCTGCACCTTTCCCTTCCGGGTAATAACCTCCAATTTTAGTTTCTTTTGTTTTTGGTTTTCTCACTAGTCCACTTACACCCGTTTTACTTAGATTTGCACTATTGGGTTTCGAACTGACGAACCTGACGTTTTTGTTGCTCGTTTTCTCCCTACTCGAACTCGTAAGATCTGTAGACTTTTGAACAGATGTTGCTACGGAAGCGCTGTGACGTCTAACGGTGGCCATCTGAGTGATGAATGGGGTCAAAAATTCTTCCTCGTTGTCCGTCTCCCCCTCGCTCTCCTGCGTCCTCTTCGCTTTTGGCGTCATTGTGTTTTCCCTCTTAGGTTCTTGGTCCTCCTCCGCTTCTAAACGAGGCTTATGGTAAGACCAGCCAATCTGTAAGTCGGTTTTTTCTTTCTCGGTTAGTTTTGAATACGGCCTCACTGTACTTTGGAATTCTGGTGGGTCTTTCTCGTCCATTGTTTTATTCCAAATGTTGCGTTTCTTTTTTGATTTTACGGTAAACGCATCTATAGTCATCAGCGTTGAGGGCGTTCTTGCTTTTGTTCGCAATTGTCTCATATAATGCGGTTTGTATTCATCCGCGATAAATTCTTCATTCATTTTTTCCGCCATGATTTTAGCCCGTGCCATTTTTACATTAACCGGGGATGGCGGCCGCTCAACTAGGATTATGGGGTCATAGTTCAAAACCTGTGAGGTCTGCACGAATTGTTTTTTCTTGAGTCTCATCGTAGCTTCCATACGGCGGATTTGAGAGTTGATGTGCCGATACTGTTTCGTGAGGCTCTGGTCTGGCTTTGTATAGGTATCCAGGAGGGTGGAGCCAAGCTTGCTGAAGGCGGGGTTTCGAGCGCCATCCACAGCGCGCTCACGTTCTAGCATCATTCGACGGGACGACACATTAATGAGCTTCACCTCTCGATCAACATTCCTGAAAAGATAGTATCAATCTGGTGTAAATATGTATTATTTTAGTGTAATTCTGAACCCGGAGCTATGAAGCAAAACCTCAAGTTTAAAGATACTTTAACAAAATCCGGATTTATATGATGGGAAGGAAATCCAACATAAGATTATGGCACAAAAAAAACTTTTAAAATGTAAATTGACTTAAAGATTCCTTAAGTTAATGTATCGTTAGTTACATAGAGGAAAACTCAATTTCAGCTACTTTATAATCCGTGTTCATCCATTTTACTCACCCAAAACGCAAAAATATCAGAACAAGGTGAAGATATGTATGTCCATTGGGAGGCAGGCCAAGTTTTTTTTTATTTCGTAAAAGGATTCTATCACCTTAAAGGTATGCAAATCGTATCGCTAAGTAGCTTAAACTGTTTTTTCTTTTAGATATTTTATTCACAATGAATTTTGTTCCAAAAAATTAGCAATATAATGAATAAATAAATAATGTATGAATAAGCTATAAACGGTTATAATTAACTTTCCTTCAAAATATTAAATTTTGACAGAGATAAAAAAAAATGTCTGAATTAACACTTTTGTCGTTAGACACAGTTTAATTTTTTATTTTGATTGACACATTTCCCCATTATTTGTTGTATAAACATCAATAGAGTCATACAAAATATATTAAAAACATAAGAACGAAAGTTAAATCCCATAACAGAACTCATACCATTCACCGTTGGTTTTCTGTCTCTAAAAGGGATCATTTGATTTCAAATAGGTTTGTTAAATAAGCTGACAGATTTGCATTTCTTAGAAAAACACCGCATAAAGACAATCTCGAATTAACCCTTTCACCACTGTAGACNATATGAGAGAATACCTCGTAATGAAAGACTTTGTTTAAAGTGTAATTCAGGCGATATAGAGGACGAATTGCATTTTATTCTTGTTTGTCCATTTTACAACGAAGTAAGAACACAATATATTGACAGATATTACAGAATTAGACCGTCTATGTTTAAATTAATTAATTTACTTTCTGTTAGAAGTAAGAGGAAATTGAATAATCTTTCCAAATTTTTAATTTCTGCTTCACAATTGAGATCAAATGAATAATTACACATATTGTCCATCCTCCATAATATGTCTGTATTGCTGTGTATCACTCACTCAATTTTGTAAAATGTATTGTAATGTTTATGCTGATAAGCCGAAAGGCTAAAGGCCAATAAACTAAACTAAGACCATAATGGACTCATCCATATCAATGCATGGCAGGGTCTACTGAAGTTACATAGGGTGAAAGGGTTAAGAGCATTTGAGTTTTGCTACCGTACAGAAACAGAAGACAGGATGAAAACTCACATTCATCTTTTTGATTTTTCCGTCAGCATATTTCTCATTGAAATTTAATAATAACAACCATGATGGATTTTAGAGACAAAGTATTGCACTTCAGATATCAGTAATATCAATCAAAATACAGAGAAGCGATTTGTTCATCTAGGCCCGCTTGCAAACACAAAGATTCTCCATGGTATTAACTTCATATTGGGTTGTAAAAAGCTACGCCTGTAAGCACGCAAAGCTAAAAGCAAGCACCCTGAATACGTCATAACGAATCCATGCGTTTTCGGTTGTGAAAGTTTACAATTTTGACTGCTACTATTCAACATCTTTGCGGTGTGGGAATTTTAAAGGTTTGATGTCAATGTATTTGCTGTGTTGGAATTTAATGGTTTGACATCAATGTCTTTGCGTTATACGTAAATCATAGATATCAACTTTGTTAATTACCCTCTGGTATGAAATTGTTTAGTTGTGTAGCCGTTTCCTGATTAAATATTTTTATTTGCAATGTGGACATTATTTGAGGTTTTTCCTTAATGTATTCGTGGTGTGGAACTGTTAGCAGTTTTGCTATCAACATTTTCGAGGTATTGAATTCCTAGTGCCTGTCTTTTGACAGGCTGTTCGCAGTATGAAAGTTTCAGCAGTTTGGCTGACAATTTCTTTGAGGTATGGATATTTTAGCGTTTGTCTTTCAATGTCTTCGCAGTAAGGGGTGGTCGTGTGACGCAGTGAATAGCGCATTTGCCTTTCTCTCACATTAAGAGCACCCGCGCGCTAACATACGGGCCAACAAGAGTGACTAATATAAGTTGAAATAACTTGTTTCACAAGTTTATATTATATACATATTGTAGAAATGTTAAGGATGTCATTTTAGCGGTTTTAATTGCCCGATTTTTCGCGATATGGTATTTTTTCGTGCTGGTAACGTTGCCTTTTTTATGTCATAGCGTGCCCATGTCCATAGCACCTGTATTTTGCAGTTTATTCTGTTTTTCCACATCAGATAATACGGGGCAAAAATAAACAAAACATGTTAAAGAGGTATACTATGTATTATATATATGTAAGTGCTCCTCGGTTAACTGTTAATGTGGAAAAGTGACGTTTTATTTTCAAATTATATCAGCTTTTATTTCATCATATAGGTTTTCTCGAGAATAAAACTGAAACCAAAACCATAATATCTTCACAAATAATCTTCAACTTCTGTCAGAGTTGCCTCCCCTTGTTCATCATTGTTCGTAAAATATATACGACACAGCGCTGTTCTATACACTAAACACTTTCGGTGTAAATTTAGAATCACTGGTTCTTTTTGACACAGGAAACACAAAAATCCGGATAAACGCTGTGCTACTGTACAAAGACCTGAACTTGTACTCGAAACATAGAAATCACAGCTCTGGTAAGGAGGTTTCAACGTGGAGAGAAATGTACAGGGTTTCGCTCACTTGCGCTCTCTGCACCCCTGGAATTTGTCATAGCAAAATTAAAGGCTCAGTGTGTACCACCTTGTTGATGAGACAAGAAGACTAGTTCGATCCTTTGATGAACATCAAAAGAATCTCGCGGTCGCGTAACAGTAAAAACATGACAGGCTTTGAAGTCGAGTGTCGCTTCTTCAAATTTTCAAAGGACAGGTATCAGCGCAGCGATTGGTCAGGTTTTTTTTTACCTGAGACCAATCAAAAAGCTATCTTCGTGCCTTCATTTTTGCTATGACATATTCCAGGGGTGCAGAGAGCGAAAGTGAGCGAAACCCCTGGATATTGAGGATGGGTTTTGAATTGTGGAGTACATATATGGGGCAATTTAGTGAAGTAAGTTTTTTTACATAATCTTGTCTCTAAATTCCTCCTGATGATATAGTTTCATACTATTTATAAACAATTCATATCGAGAAATGGACAAGATACAATAAAAGAAATCCTTAACGTACTGTACAGCCATACGTTTTAGCGGCAGCCATCGGTGAGCTAACACATATGTCTTTCCAGTCAAATTCTCGCTTTATTCACCTAGCTTCTTTGGAATACAAGTTCAGGCATTTTTTCTGGATCCAAAACATCCTCCATAAAACACCTCTATCGTCGTTATAATTAAATTAGTATAAACAATTTTACGTTTAAACCTTTTTATATCGTATTTCGTGCGGTTTGAAATTTTCCCTGCAGTATCTTTTCAGTGCGTGCATACTGAGGTTAAACCTGTTTCTGTTTATTCAAATCCAACTATGAACAAAAATATCTCATTAGAATGACATACTACGATACCTCTAAATCTGGCATGCGATGTAAAGTGTAAATTTAAAGCAAGAAGAATGTATTATGTGTGAAATCAGACTCATAACTGACACCGTGTCGTCGGTGGACAGCGTGGTACTGTACTCGTTACTTCTCAATGAAAGGCCCGGATATTGTACTATTTAGGTCGTAGCTATGTTTATCGCCTGCTTTCCCGACATATCTGATCACACTGGGCGTTGGCTTCAGGTCATGTCAGCATCAACTACGTAAACGTTCGTTAGGATATCTATATGTTCAGTATCTGATCGATTTTTAGTGTGTCAATGGACTAAATGGCCCCTTTAAAGGCGCACGCCCAAAACTCCTGCTTAAGGGAGAACCCTGGTCCGTGTATGTAAAACAAGGCGACAGGACTCTCAAGTTTCCGGTTTTTATTCAAAGACGCTAATATATCGAGTCTAAGGAAGTCCTTTTATAGTAAGTATTGCTTAATTCCTTCCTCACTCAAACTCAAATTTCCATTCTTCCCCAAAACGACAACATCAATCTGTTAAAACGGAAATTATGAAGGTACGTTTCTCCACCCATTTATGTTTTAAGTTTGAAATAGCATCCGTTAGTTTCAAAACTCTCGTTTACCAACAAAATAAATCTCTCTGATTTAAGGTAGGCTTCTGCCTTTTTCTCAAAACAAACAAAAAACAGTTGTGTTTATCGATTTTTTTTCTTTCTTCAGCTTTACGTAACAGTGGAGAAACCAGTGTTCCTTCATTAGATACATTCATGTTTTCGTGCAAGTTTGCCGGATGTCATTAAAACACGGAACGGAAAATGGAATGGTTAATGGAATATTAAACGGAACAGTAAAATTAACCGTCATTGAAAGGAATTTTTCGTCTTTTTTTCAATTCCGTATTCCGTTTCATGTTTTATTAACAACGTAAAGCTCTCCTTGAGTAAACATTACAGTATCCTATCTGTGACGTCACTAATATTTCAATTAACATAATTGGTTGATACAATTTTGAAGTTTATACGGGAATTTTCAAATATCGATTTTGAACAATTTTGAAATTGACATTTGTTGAGATATTTTTGTAAATTTCTGGGATTTCAGTAAAATGATATACAATTGTAGTTCAACGTCACAAATGGGATTGAATATTCAACATTTCTTTCATAACTGAAATATATAAAGACAAAGTGTTTATGAAAAATGTTATGAGATTTCTGAAATAATTTCAGTGATGAGAGAATCACGAAATTGTTCAAGTGTTTGAAGACTTATTAGCTTCGGGATCGTGAACGACGTCGTAGACTAATAAATGTTTTTTTTAGAGTTATCTCCCTTAGCAAGCTCAAAAACCCGAGTGTCCAATTTAGAATTTCAAAATTTAATTTGTCATGATGCCGACTTCGGTTTAGAAACCATGTACTCATAACCGTTAAAATCAATATCTATACATGGTACATGTATTATATTTTTTAAGTGTTGGAAATCGGGAAACCGTACATTCGAGCATGTATAAGGGAAATGACATAGCGAAAACAATCAAATATTCCACAAAAACAGTCCCGTTCGCTAAAATGCCTTCTTGCACCTCTGAACAAACACTGTTTATAAAATATATTACAATAAGTCATACCTATTGCGGTCATCCCTGAAAATAAAATGTTAGTAAAAACTGAAATAAAAGAAATCACAGTTTCTCAGAAAACAAGTTGAGTTCTGTGTACATGATTGTATGACTGTGTATGCAATCTCCCTCAAACGTTTTTTTTTAATGTTTAATGTTTTCTGGGTTTGAAAGAAAACCAATTGGTTAAAAAAGACCCTTTATTTTCCCTGAACTTTTGTATAAGTTATCCGTGTTTTTGCGGGTTTTTTTAAATTTTTCTATTAATTCATTTTTCATTAATTTATTATTTCATTTATTTATTTGTACTTTTCCTATATCATATTCAGCATGATAACATTAAAAATTTGAAAGAGATAGACTGGTTAATTAGTCTGATTTGAAATCCTAAAAATAATTCTTTATTTCAATAAATATACGTCACTCCGTCATCTATAATATATACATATGCATACATAATCTATAAGTAATCACACGAGTTATAATTTTGTCCAAGTAAACCTCGATTAGATCCCACTAACATCAACTGGAACACGCTCGATCACTTCCGTGAAACAACGAGCATGCGACGGAAAAGGGCGAAGTGATCCGATTGCACGAAAACTTCATTATCTCCCCTTATTTATGTGAATGCCGTAAACTGTCGCAAAAGCGATAATCTCAAAACTAACTACGATCAGTATTTAAAAAACCCACACACAAAACAAAAACAAAACAAGCCAAAGGAAAACCTATCAGTTATAGCATTGATGTAAAAAAGTTAATTTAGATTTAAATTCATGTAGATACACTGAACAGTAAACATCGTGATTTAAAACCAACCGTTTATGGCATTACAGGAAAAGTTGAGGTAACTTGTTTTATAATTGTTGCAAAATAAATACAGTTTTTCAATGGTTTACCTATATCGACTTATCAATGATCGATCGTTAATTTGTTAAACAAATCGAATATCGAAGAGTACTGAAGATACATATTGGTGCATATGTTATATTATATATTATGGTTATCAAAGGACTGGAAAAACATCAGTTATAGATATAGGTGTGCAGGTAAATGTAAATGTACTACTAAAGGTAAAGTAATTTAGCCTATTAACAATTAAATATGTTGTTTTTTTCTTTAAGTTAGATGATCAATTTACTAGCATAAGTATTAACATACTTTCTTGGCATCTTTTGTGTTAAGCCTGCCTCCACGTCTAGCCGAGACTGCTACCTGCAAAACAAAAACAAAAATAGACAGCTAAATAATATGAATGATTCAGTTAAACTTAATGATGCTTTCATTTCGTCTCTGTCGTTTTATCCGTTTCATTGTCATCCTTGCCATGTTAAAATATCCATTGCAACTTTGCAGTATCGTCCAAATTGAGGAGAAGAATCGGTAACAGCCTCGATGTAATTGTAAAATGTTTGCTCTTAAAACCAACATAAACGGGTGTTGTTTACTTTACGAGTGGAATGAATTAAATACATTACAAATCTAAAAATAAATATATAAAATAAAGATTAAAAAGAGGGATGATAATATGCAATCAAACATTCAATTAAATGTTATCGGTAAAGTTTGAAATGGCATTTATATATTGAAAAAAAACCCACAGAAATAAGAGCGCCTTACGGTATACAACGTTGTCAACTAAAGACCTCATTTATATGAAATAGAATATTTTGTTTCCTTTTCAACAATTTTCTATGCAGAGATTTATTGATCTAAAAACGAAACTACATTTCATGATTACCTGATCCTAGATTAATTTCCTGCCAACACTACACCTTACGTCCATTTGTTTTCTTTTCCGGCCCTCTGAAATGAAATTTCAACCATAAAAATAAAATTCACTGAAAATAATTGACATACAGAACCATAACTTAGGGTTGTTACCGGAAGTTTGGTTTCTCACTGAACCTGCAAAGGGTACTGACAAGCATTTTGAGGTTTCATATGTAATAATAAGATAATATATACTTTAAAAAACTTCATTCATGTTTCTTAAGGTTTTTTTAAATTGTTTTCAATATATAAATATGTAATAGTATAAATATATCAACAAATTCTTTTAATTAATAAACCTCTATAATACCATTATGATCTCAGATTATAATGTAACCAACTCTCTGGCCGTTAGATGAATACTGTTGAAAAAAAACATGTAGACACATTTAATAATTAGCATGATGAAAGACAACAATAGCGCTGACATCATATTTACAGTAAATCTAAAATCTATTAACAATAATAAGAAAGAAATATGTAACCGAAGTTAACAATCTAATCTGAAAACAATTGTACGACATTGTATTGGATGTATGAGCCCCCATACGCACACTATAGTACATGTATTCCATTGTTAATGATATCAAAGGATGACGTCATACTCACAGATCACCAACAAGATAACTTACCAGTCTTGACCATTAACGTCCTAGCGAGTCTATAGTGGGCTAGGTATTTAAAATACGGAGGCCAGAAGGTGATTAGCATCAAATTTCAAGTTTAAAATTTCTTTTATTTCGGAATGCAATACAGCATATAGGTCGAATATACTTCAGCAATATCCCTACACGAGGGTTTTTCCTTTGGCGGTAGCATGCCGCAAATAGTTACCCAATCTACATAATGTTTTAATAGTTTTATATAACAATATTTCGATTAACTTGTATTAGGGCGTCAGTAGTAATATTTCTAATGTATGTGTTTCTCAGTACAGAATAAGCAGGACAAGACAAAATAAAATGTATCTCATCTTCTACATTATTTTTGTCGCAAGCTTTTAACATATTGGTATTCTTTGACATCTCGAAACCTCATTATAACGTCCAGATGCCATTTATTATTTTCCTTGCGGGGATAGGTGGTTACCTTCTGTCTACCGCACGGCACGCATCTCCTTATAGCTTACTATTAAATATCTATTCAAGTCTTTTCTGAAGAAGCGTTTCATATAATACACAACTTGAAATGTATTTTACAGAATATTTTATTACTGAAACATATACACAGGACCTTTAAGTCTGGATTGTAGACACTACATGTCTTTTTTACAACCAGTCTTCACATTGTGTCTGTTTTATTTTGTATTTTTTTTAAAGTGCAGATGGATTTTTCCTCAAAAGAATTCTACTTTTTTATTTTTTGAAAAGCAAAGATAAATGTTCCCGCCATTAAATCTAGAAAAGTTTTTTTGGTACAGTGATAGAAAATAACACTTTTTCGTCTTTAATATTATAATATTGTAATTAACTGTAATGATTTGTTTTTCTAATACAACATGTAACTGATGTTCTTTACAACTTTTAGTATGTTGCTTTATCTTGTGCCGAAAACGTTTGCAACTGCACGACCGGGACTCGAACCCTGGACCACCGCACTTAAAGATGCATTCTCAATCTTATTGGTCACTAACCTACTATCCTGTATAGCATGCCCTTGAATACGGGTTACAATACTTAATCCCCGCCGCCTCTTCGACACCCTTCAACCATGGTCGACACCATTCAACCATGGTCGACACCATATAACCATGAAACTGAATGTTTATTAGCACTTTATGTTTTTATTTATAATTGTTCATTTTCACAGTTGTTGGTACGCATTGCCCGCTAGCGAAAGAAGTAATTGTGCTATTGATCTGAGTACGCATTTACATATACGTATATAGGGAAAACAATTAATTGACACTGAAAATGTACCACCTTTGTGTGATGAGGGTCTCAGAACGTCCTAATGGGAAAGCAAACACAATCTATACTTCAAAAATCCAGGTTGTGTATTGACACAAGCAAGAGCGAAGTTAGCCCTTGTTCTGAATGGATTCATTTAGGGGCGGATCCGGGGCTTGGCAGGGGGACAAGGGGGTGCAAGAAACAGTGTTCTTTTTCTATTTCAAAATTTAGTAAGTACGCGCCTGATATCATAAGGAAAGTCGCATCACAAACGCAGTTAAATAGCAACTGATATAGCCATCCTCGGTCCCAGGGGAAATTCGCTCTTACGCGAGTTCCCCCTGGAACCGAGGATGTGATGCATAATTGATAACTGTGTTTGTTGTAGAGAGTGGACGCTTTTCACGACATAACTCACTCATATTTCACACTCGACACCGGTTCTAAAAATTGCATACCCCTCACTCCCCTCATACATCTTTCCATGCGGTTTCCATCCCCACCACAGCACCATCTAACAGTATACAGTTGGTTCATGCCTTATCAGTCAACAGTCAAAACTATTTTCCCGAGGAGTTGGGACCCACCAGATGAACTGTTTCCCGAGGCCGCAGGCAGAGGGAAACAGTTAATCTGGTGGGTCCCAACTCCGAGGGAAAATGGTTCTGACTGTTGACTGATAAGGCATGAAACAACTGTTTTGTTACTTGACCAATGAAAAACAAAAAGTTCCATGTCGAATGTGATGTTTAGATCTACCGACAGACGACCGTCAACAATCCAGTACCAAAAACGCTTGATCATCGGGGTGCTTGTAATTATAAATGCGTTCGATTACCTAACACGTGACCAGTCAACAGTTTTACGGTAGCACACATTAGCTATAGTTCGTTTGGTAAATTGTCTGGGAAACAGTCGAAATTGATTAATATGCATTTATATAGCGAGTCAGGTAACAATTAGGATTGTCTTATAGAATAATCCATGTCTAGCCCATTCCCTCAGTATATCGACACGCTGTTCATAAAGTGCAGTAATTACAATACAAATGAAAACTATTTTCAATATTCGGTGTCCCCATACTCGTCAATATGATCTGCATAAACGGTCCTCAGTACCTCACCTTTGGCAATGGTGTTTAGCGTGTGCCCAGGTGGGGAAAGAAATGGGTTCTGTCCCCAGGCCAGGACATACGTTGTAGCATTTAGGGTAATGGCAACAACACATTCACCCGTTGTTAGTATAATGTGACCGGGCGGAAAGCTGTGCAGGCACGGTGCAATCGGCATTGTATTTCAGTGATATAGCACTCTAAAGTGGGTATAAGATCCGCGCTATCACATTGAGGCAATTACACCAACAAACCATGTATCCGGCACACATACACTTGCACGCTTACACAACACACATGGATGCGCGTCACTAAATGAACATTTGTTTCCCCCAGTCTGCTCACACACGTCACTTGCATAATCTTCATCCTGTGGAAGGTTCACTACCACATGAAGTAGATAGGTATATGGTAGAAATGGAACATAATCAAACCAAACAAAACCTCAAGGTTCACGTTTCTTTTTAGAAATTGACTTATTAAAGCTACTGGTGTTCCTATTTCAAAGTTACAGATTTTTGGCTTTGGAACAAGACTTCTTAAAATTAGACGGTGCATTATATATGTATATATTTTATTGTCCCCGAAATTGACAGTGCTCGGTGCTTTTCTGCTGAAAACTGTTTTAATTAGTCGGTGTTTTATTGATACGAGTAGTAGCGCTTCTGATTTTAGTACACAAGTATTTATGAGCGTATGTAAGGTGAACAATTAATTAAACATCAATATTTACAAAGTACCACGTACCAACTATAATGGTTCTCCGCGAGTGCTAATGGAAAACAAACACAATCTGTACTTTTAAATTCAGGCTGTGTATTGACAACTTTAGACATATCCCTGGTTTTACAAGCCTTGTTAGGCTAACCAATACAGAAGGGAAAAAACGTGGGTTTTCTCCGGGTACTCCGGTTTCCACCCACATTAAGACCCCCCACGCGCTATCATCCGGCCCAACAAAAGTGATTAATATAAGTTGAACGAACTTGTTGCATAATTGTTGTAAAACAAATAAAGTTTATATTTAAAAGGAAAAACTATAATACACTTGTTATAGCATAAGTTCTTCTTTCATATGTTGTAAAAAATAATATTTGATAGATAAATATATATTATTTATCACCATAAAAAAATATGTAAAAATATATAAAAACAAATATACACTGAATGATTTTTAGGAATTGGTGAATGGGTAAGTGAAAATTCTGTCTACTGAATATGAAATATCAACAAACTGTGTTTATGTAACAAGAATAATTAGTATTTCGATGAGTCGTTTTCTGTTTGAATTGATATATCTAATGGGCTTTTAAAAATAATTTCCATTTTATTGATAGATAGTAGCAAAAATAATACACACTACCGTGAACGTGACCAAGTTATGATAATGATATATTATAAAAGCTAGGTGAACGTGTCTCACGTGAAACCCGAGCCTGAGTTCACATGTTTGTCATTATCTGGTAAACAAACACATCAGACCCGTGGACAAACCTCTTATTACTTGGGGATTTGTTTATGGAACGCCATAGTTGCCTTATCTGCCCTTTTCGCTATTTCGTTATAAATGGAGGCATTTTCACCAAGTATGGTGGTTTCATGACATGTGGCAGCTGTTTCATTGCTTGTGGTGGTTATTCCATTATATGTGGTGGCTTTTCCATTAAATGCGGTGCATATTTCATAACACGTGATGTTATTTCTATGTATGTGTTGGCTTTTCGGACCAGGTGAGCTTATGCCATACCACAGCGTCCGTCGTCCGACCGTCGTCCGTCCGTCAACTTTTCCTTTAAAAAGCTACTTGTCCTGAACGGCCAAGTAGATTTTGACCAAATTTGGTCTGAAGCATTCTTGGGGGAAGGGGAACAAATTTTGTATAAATGGTGGGTCTGGCCCCCCAGGGGCCTGAGGGACGGGGCCAAATAGGGGAAACATAGCAAATTATTTAAAATCCTTCTTCTGTAGGAATGAAAGGATTTGGTTATATTTGGTGACTCAATATTGTTGAGTGATTTATATTTGGTGAC